TGTGTGTAAATGTATATATATATATATGTATGTATATATATATATATATATATATATATATGTGTGTATATAAAAGCATAGGCGGGGAGATGAGGGGTTGGCAGGCAGTCCAAAGCATTGAAGGGGGTTGGATCGTGATGGCAGGTGGTGGGCGAGGATGAGGGGAAGGGAAGTTGCGATTCCATCTGCCAGCCTGTCATTCTGATACTACGTACAATGTCGGCAGTTGGCGGAGACGATCAATACATTGCAATCTATATAAAATGGCTGCAGTATTTGGAGCGCCGTGCATAAAACGCTTTTCCTCGTAGAGATGGAAAACGGATATCGCGTACGTACGATGTATTAAGCAAGTAGCTGTTGTAAATTGCATGCATGATAGAATTTTTTTTCACTTTATCGTTACATATCTGAAAAGTTGTAGCAGTTATCCGCCAACGCAACTTTGTCATTAGTTATAAACATGCACAAAAAAATGTAAACGTTAAAGTACACGTACATTCCATATTGGAAGTATCTAAACTAGTATCAGAATAACAAAGTATTTTTAATGCTTTCATTTAGGAATTATTTGATTGAAATACACGTATTTGTGGAAGAACTCGATAATCTTAAAAACATTTGATATAATTGCATCATAATTCGCATTATATATAAAACAAAACATAGGAGCAAAATATATACAGTACACATACATACACATTTCATTCTTCTTATTAAATTACATCACAATGTATCTTTCAGATCCAAATTGTTCGCAACACACGTAGATCATAACTTGATAAATAATTAATATATACAAAGAACGACATATATAATCTCTCTCTTAGCATCAAAATAATGCTCAACATACGACTGATTAATCGACTCTAATAAATATTAAAATAATTTACATACAGCTAGTGAAGAAAAAAAAATTCATCCATAAAATTTCGCAGCAACTAACACACTCTAAAGGATTTGTGTAATACATATATATCTATATATATATCACATAACTACAAAGGGTAGACCCGTTATTAGCGAGTATAAGTAAGAAGAATCAAAACAACATTCAAAGGCACACAAATAATTAAAATGATACAGTTCAGCAAAGATATGGTTAATATGTGAAGATAATTAATGACGATAATAATTGAAGACTCTCTGTCGCATGTGTGAAATTGTTACCGAGAACCACGATAAATTGGTGCAACAGCGTCATCTGTTGCACGCCTTCTTATACTATCTTGTAGAAAGCACCGACAGATGGCATTAACCGTATCGCCAGTCTTATTTCTTAATTCCTTGAAAGGTTAAAAAATCTGTTACTGTCGAATTTATATATAGATTGTACACTCTAAGTATGTATAGTTTTCTACACACTTATTTGTAACACAACTTACAAATATCTAATTTTTTGAAATTCTTTTATTATATACTTTTTAATAATAATTGAAAATAAATATTGATAATAATCCTGGATAAAATATATATATATATATATATATATATATATATATATATATATATATATAATATATATCTTGTATAAAATATGTAATATATGCTCGTTTTAAAAATTCATAAGATTAACGTCATAATCCGAATTATAAACAATCCAGTATATTCATAGAGGACAAGTCAAGATATAACTAATGGAGCTCGTATGCAATAAAGAAGATTATTTTGAATCAGTGTTGCTGAAATGTTATATTACCGTACATAACACTACGAGTTGTAGAATTGTTTATATGTCAACGTCAGACACCCTATATAGAAACGCACAGTGATACTTTCACAACATTTGCACTAAATCACTTGTAATATTCACCAAAAACAGCAGTATGTTTTGTCAATGTAGAAACAGCGTTCTCAAGAGAAAAGAAAGAAAAGTAGAAAAGAGCAAAGTTTTCTTCTATTGATATCGTCGACGGAAGCGCGTCCCAAATGTATCTCGAAGTTTTATGACTAGAAAAAAATCATGCTTCAATAAGTATTTTGCGGGTAATACCTGATCTCCTTAAGGAATATCTTATTTTCGCGGTTTCCCCGCGAAAACGGCCAAGATCTTCTCTCTGTGATGCGCTCCAGGTGATGTTGACCGTTCGCCGATCAGCGATGTTATGGTGCAGGAAAACGCCGAGGGGTAGTATCGCGGGGGAATGATTTATGACTTCGGGGACCAGGTAGGGCGCCATTCAGCACCAGGCTCGTTCTCTTCTTCCGCCACCTCTCCGACGCTCCCTCTCTCAGGCCGGTGACTTGCGATGTCAATGCGTTTTCAGTTGGCTTATTTGCGCAATAGGCGTAAGACGAATTTCACGAGTTTGCCGCGGGTGAGGCTGCGATTCAAGTGCAACGCGCTATCTTTTTTTGTGTTTTGTGCGGCGTACAACAGTTCGTGAAGCGATCTCGAAGACTGGACTTCCGAACTTGACTTGTGCGACGGTGGAAAAACTGCGGTAAGTCCTATTGTTTTTGCAGTCTTAAAATAGATTGTGAATTACTTCATTGAAATAATCAATTAATTATTTCACGCGACACATAGATCTCTTCTCCAATTACAACTCCGCGAATCTTTCTGTACTCCATAAAAAAAAAAAAAGAGTATCGCAATTATGAGAGTATGCAATATCTGAGGAATATCTGAACGATAGCGCAGAGCGTTGCGCTGATGTTTGCGTAGATAATACGTACCGTGACGTGAGACAAAGTGGTGATCTCCTCAGCCGAGGCGTCGAATCCGATTGGCGACGGTGCAGGGCCCCTCATCTGCGGCTCGGATTCGAGCAAAACGAAACGTCGGATATCGCGTTTCTGTAGGAAAGGCCGGCAGGAAATTAGCCCTCGGAAATCAGTCGTGGTGTGGCGCGCACGGCCCGTAATATCTGGATACACGCGTGAATTTATGTAACTTAATTTGTAACACGCGGCATGAAGCTGCTCGCGCCTGCCCCAAGAAGTCAAAAAGGTAATAAGAGAACGCTCAGGAGCCCACATAAGTGCCGCGCGCACGCACATGAGAGGAGGCTGGACTACGAAGAGGTGCACAAGCAACGAGAGGAATGATGGTCAGACCGATGGGCAACTTTTTCACTTTGCATGTAATAACTGCGAGAAGCAAGCGAGAGATGTAGAGAGAGGAAGAGAATGAACAAAAGAGAGAGAGAGAGAGAGAGAAAGAAAGGGAGGGAAGGGACAGAGAGAAAGAGAAATGGAGAAAGCGAGAGAACAAAATGCCTCCTATGCGCGGAGGAGCAGTTTAATAAAATCTCGTTGGCCTAATGACGAGAGCAGCTCCGGTAGTCGTCGGACGAGACAAGGGCGACGATGGGGAACGAGGGATGGACGGAGATGGTAGCAGACGGCGAATCCGTCGTGATGGTAGCCGGGTAGGGCAGCTCGGCAATGAGAAATAAGAGGGGTTGGGACGAGAGAGATATCGCCTGTGTCGCATACGATGCTGCCGCGTTACTGATGTCTTCGGCGATGCTTCGCAACGTGCTGTTTTTATGCACAGGCGTTCATCAGCGCTTTGATCCTCACCGCAAACACGTAATTAAAAGCTCGTAATTCGGCCGTATGATGATATGCGTGGAAGAAAGATTACGAGGGAAAGGGTAGGGCGGGCGCAAGGAAACGCGCCGTTGAAAAATCTCGAAGGACAAGCGTAGCATTGATAGTTCGATCCGAGTCGGTTAAATGCTACAAGGAGAGCATACTCGCGAATTATGTATTATTCTTATTTCCTCATCACATCCCAACGTTAAAATTGGATATTATTTGTAGTAATCTATATTTATTATCCGTATGTAAATTTGCTCAGACTACTTCCTACATCTCAAAACGATTTCTCTTACTTCTAAAGTTCCTTCTCGTAGTTACAAATTCGACAATATTTTGTCACCAAAACTGTGCTCTTCGCTTGATTTCCATGATTTTCCTTAACGATTTCGAAAAAGAAAATCTTTCACCTTGTACGTTAACCCGATACGTTATACTAAAATTGTCCGGAAAACGAAAAAGCTGAAGGGAAAAGAGGAAAAAGACAGAGTCAAGGCATGGCAGCAGTTACCCCAAACGATCATCAATCATCAAGAGCGAGACAATCGAATAGCGCAGCCAACCGTCGAACAGCTGTCTCTTCGGTGGGCTCTAACCGTACACGTTACACGTTGCTACAGCTATTTTACAAAAAAGGAAAGTAAAAGATTTTGTAGAAAGTCAATCGCGTAAATTATATTGTGATATTACATATATTATATATATATTGATATAAACAAATTTTTTTAACTATGTTTATGAAGCAAAAAGTAGTATATATAGTCATTCATAAAAAAGAGATATAAAGTGGATATATAAGCGTAATACGGTAAAAAAAAGAAAAATTCTCAAAATAACAATATTGTTGAATGAAGAATTGGGAATAATAATATAAATTTTTAACACGGCAATGTAAGAGAAAGATATGGACAATAGAGAATAGATAAATGAAAAGGCTCTCTCTCTTTCGATTTGCCTTGCAAGTTTGTATAATTTTTTTTTCAAAATATTTCATACGTTGAAGCATTTTAGCCATGCATTATATATCTCAAGCTCGATCCACCTCGCATCACATCACATCATATCAGAACGCTACCATCAGATGCCGACACCATCCTTGCATGTTTCCTATATTGCCTACTACGTTTCATAAATAACTTTCATATTGCAAAAAGTACAATTTCAATATTACAACCGATGGGCATGCCAATATTACTCCAGTGTATGATAGATAGACGAGCTATATTGTCTTTATAAAAAGCTAGTCGTTTCTTTTAGAAATATGTACTGAATATTACTTCCAAGAATATTAGTTTCCGCTCGAGACAGCGTAAATTCTGAACTGCTTCTATTTTTGGATAATACCACGGAAAATATTATTATGTTCAATTTATACATGCATTTATTTTTATTTAAATTTATAAACATTTTTTAACAACAGACACACAATGCAAGGGAGAGACAAATGTTATTTGATACTCAAATTTTGCCAAATGCATTTATACAAAATAAATTTTTTATTAAAGCTTTCAACACCAAAACTTTTACTATTTTTAATAGGACAATAGAAGTTGCAGAAATATCATTCTTGTTTAATATTGAAAAAGAATATTACCAAACATTTTTTAATTTCCTTATTTAATAATATAATAAAAATTAAATATTATTTATATATGATATATGCGCATAATGCACATATTTATCGAATGCATGCAAATATTCTTTTCATTTTTTCCTAAAATCTAAACTTTATTCCTCAAAATTTATGTTCAGTTATAAAAATGTCTCCTTTTACTTTCTATGATTTTACACCACATTTCGGGTAAGACACGGATCTCTTCGTGCTAAAAACTTAGCAACTTGAGAGCAACAAAGTCATCGAAAAGTTTTCAGTTATCATTTCTGTTCCTTTCATCTGCAACATAACATCTATTTTTACTATTTAACAGAATAAATGAGAAGATTTCTTTACCAAATAATTTATCCTTTTCGATATTTTTACTCTTCGTGGTATTTTTATTGAATTGAACAAAAAAGGAATGCATTGTTTAATATGAATTTAATCTGATCAGTCATTATGATTTTGAGATTAGATTGGTATTGGGGTTAAATTAGATTATATAGATTAAGTCTAGTTAAAGAATTTTAGGTCTAGTCAAGAGTTAAATTAAATTTAATAAATATGTGGATTTATATATTACGTTATATGTTTGTTCAAACATAATAAATTACTATAACTTTTAATAGAAGAAGTGGAAAAATATTTGGGATTTAAACAAAAATGTTATTAACTTCTAACTATTGGTGAAAAAAGTTTTGCATACATCTAAAATATTCTTCAGTAGAAGGATTATTATACACGTTTATTATACACGTTCACGAGATAGAATTGACTTGCAGCTTACAGGTTATTCACTCCTGACCCTAAATGGGTAGCATTCAGGAGGATCCAGGTACCCAAGTAACCAGAATTCAAAAGCTACCTCTCCAACCAGGTGTCTTGCTGGCATGATCTGCTAGCAGACAAGAAATAGCACTACCGTGCAAAAACCGAATAATATACTAAATAAAGTACAGTCCTGCAGTAACTCAAAAAACATACGATTCTTAACTTTATAACAATGAGTCATTTTTATAATCGTGAAAATAACATGTTTCCTTGTGAAAATCATAAAATACAACGATTTTCGAGTTCTAAACATTATTTTAAATATATAAATACTCTGAATATACTAGTCGTGTTATCCAAAATCCGCACACATACACACAAGTTATAATAATAACATTAAAAAAAATATTAAGAAAAAATTCAATATAGACTTTCGTAAAACCTTTACTAAGTACAAACAACGACTCAGATTCGTGATCGCACGATTGCGGTCACCATGCTGCGATTCTAATTGATTATTGAATTTTCATGATCATCTTTTCTTCTAAATTAATACTTGCTATATTTGACTTTTCATTTCTTGTTTTCTGTATCAAAAGGAAAAAACTACTGAATTTTAGCTTAGCATGCCAGAACATTAGCCTAACGCTAATAAGGTAGTTTACTGTGAAGGAATTTAGTTTACCGACCTATGAAACATATCATCTTAAAACCCATATATAAACGATAGATGGTACTGAAGAAAATATTTTCTTCTCGATTTTTTAAAAATTAAGACTTGTATTAAATTTGTGTCTATAAATAACATATATGTGAATAAATAAATGGGAATGAATTGTGCTAATTGGACCATGTTACTATGTGTAATTACATTGTTCATGCAAATCCAGATCTATAAATAAATCTAAAGCTCATACTTTCTCTGACCATTCAATTATTTGATTGGTTTATTTATCCATGTGAATAATCCACAAATGCAAATTAATTGGCTTTTAATAATCCTCTAATTATTTATACAAGGCAATCGATCAATACAGACATTATCTCAGGATTACAAATAGATACAGAACATGGATAGTTTGAATATTGGACCCTCATATTGAATTTCCACAGAGAGAATTAACGGTGTGCTTCACATTTACTTCTTAATATTTATGCTTTAACAGATCCATTCGTCATTGAAAATTACAAATTGTAAATTGCAATTGTATATTGTAATGATATAATTATATTTTAAATTATTATTTTATTTATACTTCGTTATTCTGTATAAATAAGACTCTTTAATGAAGGTCATATGTACTCTGAAATATGTAATTTTCTCAAATATATTTAACCTTTATGAAATAATAAAAAAATATATATATATACAATGAACAAAAAATTTAAGTAACTGTTGTTAATGTATATCGCAATTATATTAATTGTATACTAATACAGTTTACGTCAGAGAAAAACCATCGATTCAAGATTGATATCTCCCTAACACGATTATCAGCGAAGGCGTAGACGTAGCCAGTCAAAAGTAGC